AGAGAGAGAGAGAGAGAGAGAGAGAGAGAGAGAGAGAGAGAGAGGATTGGTTGCGTGTGGACCTCGTGCACCCCTTTTCTGGCATGATGGTGGCAATGCTCGTTTTGCAGCAGCTGTCAAAAATCGATATCACGCAGCACATACGTAAGCGCTGTTACTTCACGCGTCCACCAAAGCAGGAAAAGAGAGAGAGAGAGACAGAAAGCGATATCGAGAAAATCAATACGCCAACGAAGAAATCCTCTGACCGAATGTTTTCCTCCTGGTGGTACCGCGTGTGGCTGCATGTGCTTCGCGAGTCATATCGATTACCGTCATCGCGTTTTCACGTTCACTGTCGTTCTTTTCCGAGAGAGTCAAGGGCCGCGCGGTGCTTCTCCTCTGTTCTGCCAAATATTTTCATTTTCTTTCTTCAAAGGAGAATTCAGAAATTCAGAGAGGTTATCGGTATCGCATTTTCAATTGCAAGAACGATCGAAGCAGATTACTGACGCGATGAGTAACAAGGCCGAGAATGCAATACAAACAGCACCGAATGTTATCTTTTCAGATATCCAATCACTCTTTTACGCAGCGCGTACTAGTCCCCTAGTTTCACTGCAAATCACGTGCCGCAATTCCTACTCTATCCCTGATACAATTTATTCAACATGCGATACAACGACCGTGCACTCGATTCTTTACATTCTCGTAAAGAGAGAAATCAAATCTCAGACGAAAGAGACGTAAGAAGAATGAGTGATTCCTTACCCAAGCTACGTGTGGCCATGATAGCCGATCGTGAGCTAATCAGAATCGACCAATGACCCCTTTAAGTCCTTTGTTCCTCTTCTCGAGGACACTCCCACACACACAGCGAACCAGGCCACGAGGGATGAATCGCGGGGAACCGAAGGGTGCGTACGATGTCGATGATCGAACCGAACTGAACGAGACTAATGCACGTAAACTCTCCGGTCTTTCCTGCGGCCGATGAGTCACGTTGGCTCGTAGCCAATGGCAGAATTCGTAGAGGTCCTCGTGTGCATACACGCCACCCCTGAAGCGAGTACGTTCGTCTGACAGCCGACGACAGACGGCTCTTTCTTGGACTCTCTCTTTCTCTCTCTACCGATTCGCGGCTTCCAACGTCACAGAGGACGTTGCGGAGAGAGAGAGAAAAAAGAACCGATGTCTCCGATCGCGAACACGTTTCACACTGGCTACATCTTGAGATTTATCGATCTGTTCCACGCTTGTATCTCACAGGCCTGCGCTCGTCGTCACCACGCGACACGTTCTACGATGAACGATCGTCCACGGGGTGTCTTCAAGCGACCGTGATTGGTCTACGGGAAGGGATGAGCTTTCCGATTGTCGACTTCTCGACGCGGAGATTGATTCGTCGAGGACGGCGAGACTAACGATTTTCTGGTAGGTTGGTAAAGACTTTCTTTTTCGAACTTCAAAGGAGACTGAGATATTTCGAAATTATTTGAAAGGATCAGAAATGAGAGCTCTCCGCAAGAAACGGATCTATCTGCGTCTTTTCCGGCGTGTTCGTTGTATTTCAAAAGAGGAAAGGAAGGGAAGAAGATAGGAGAGCTGTTTAATTCAGAGACAACGACCGGGCACCGGCGAGTTCATCATTCGATCGAATGACTTTTGCAAACGCGTTTGAACTCTATCTAAAGATTTATCGATTCGTTTTGCGTCTTCCTCCAGGCGCAGGGCTTGAAAGCGAAATGCTGCGGAACTAGAAATAGCTCGGCGCTGGAATAATCCAATCCCATCTGCTGATCTACAGAAACACATCACGTTTGCCGCTGTTCAACTGCCGTTCAACACAAACAAGTTTCCCTTCTTCTCCTGAATCCACAATCCACGCTATCTTCCCTCGAATCGCGCGAACGTTTTATGAAAATTACATTAAACCGATTCGGAATCCGATCGCACGCCCGATAACCCCGTAGATCTAAACTATTACAAGCCATTCGACACAAAATCCTGTGTGTCCCTGCCTCGAAAGCTTGCACAGATCTTTCAATTGCAAAGGGCCACTTTGTTTTCACTGCGCGATGGGGATGCACGGATGCACGGATCATGGGGGTACAACAGGACGAAGCCAGAGAGGCTGGCCCCTCTCTATCTTTTCACGGTAGTTCGGCGCACGTGCGCGTACACGCGACAAAGCGGTATCACCTCATCGTCGAATCGCGCTGGCTTCCCGCCAAAAGCAATCCGTTAACGTGCACGTACATGCAGAAACATTCATTCAGCCGCGATCGTCGGCGGGAACGAGCCACGGAGAGAGGAAAAAAAAAAAAGGGGGACAGACGAGACCACGGCTGCGGCTGGCTAAATGGATCAACGACCGACGAACGCGTGAGAAACGCATCGTCGACCGAACGACTCGGCGACGTTGTTCGCTGCATCGCGCGCTAGTTTCACGTTAACGAGGAATTGCACGACACCGAGATGATCGGGATTTTCGTGCTGGTTTCTTGAGGGAAATTTTTGAAGGAAAAGTATGGGAGGAATTGGGTGCACTAGGCGAC